GATCCAGTTGAAGCTGCCGAAGAGACTACGTACTGTTCCTCAGTCTCATGCTCTTTGTCGACTGGCGCAGTTGGCTCGTGGATGCTTTCATGTAGTAGCGAATATTGTTGTGATGTCTGGTGTGGGAGGTGTACCAAAGGGGAGCGCTGAGGACGTTGCTCGAAAGAAGAGAGGGGCAGTGTGATGCCTTGTTTATGTGATTACTGACATTTGGCGGTCACTTTGGGGTTTGTCTGGTCCTTGTACACGTGGACTGGCCTTCGAGTCATGCCCAGACCCATTTGCCTAGTATTCTCGGCAATGCATGTATCCAGCTGCACTCACTGCCTTCTTCCACTCTATGGGAAGTCTCGTGACGCCACACTTATCTGCTCCACTTGGGTAAAAATTGCTAATTTGTAAAGCTGGCTGAATTTTGCTTGATTGCAAAGCTGACTGCGTTGCAATGGTAAGGTTGTTGGTTGCGCATGAGCAGACCACTGGGCAATGCACGTAATGTCCCAGGACCTCTTCCGAGCAGAAGACATTTAGCTAGGCCACAAACACATACACTCTACAAACAAAAAGAGGGAATTAAGCCTTGACTTGATTTGACGGCAAGCCTACGTGTAAAATGCCAGATTTAAACCGAAAGCCACGCATCAAGTATTCACGCAATAAGTTGTTTACGCAACTATCTGTAGATCTGGCCGTTGCTTGATATTTGTCTGTTCTTGCACGAGTGGGTTGGCCTTCGGACCAAGTCACAGAGTCCAGTCAAGAATATAGATATTCAGACCAGCTTTATGTCTTTATCAACCTAGTGAGAGGTCTCGGACTCTGCATCAACTTTTGGTAAAACAGGTTATTTTTATGCTGGCCGCAGCACTTCTTCAGATGAGTCGGTTACAAAGCTAAGTTAATCAAACTTCATCATTTTATATTCCCTAGAACCATTGTAGTAATGCGCGGCAATAGACTACGGCCCGCCTTTTTGGTAAGAGGATGGAAATAAGTTTGAACGCCGAAGTCGAGGAGACAACATAACCGATCTTTGGAAAGTAATAACTACTAACGATTCTTTTATATTACCCTCTGGAAAGTGTACTCAAATGCCAAATAAGGCTTCCATAATCAAACAGTTCTCTGTGGAAGCACTCAGGAGAGGCCTGACAGGGAGTGATGGGGGTATGGTTCAATTGCGTCTAAAGGTGCCATGATTGCTTTTTATCGCATTCCTTTCACGCTGATATTCAAAAAATATCAATACGAATTTTAGAAGCGGGAATATAGCTCACCATAATCAAACAAGGATTTCGTAAGGAGGCATAATCTGAAGCTTAGTTATTGCAGAATGAAACTAGTACCAGTGCTGAGTTCGCAGTCTTAGCCAAGGAGAGATGTAATAATCATGGATGATCGCAGGGTCAGTGGACATCTTAGTAGGTAGCAAAACATTAGGCTTAACCGGATGCTTGGATTCTGGCGGAAGAGGTAGGATTTTTGGCTTTATAGCGGTAGCCTAACATTTAGCTAAGAGCCCACCACTTATGCCGGCAGTCAAGTAAAATAAGTGCTAGATAGTTTTTGAGAGCTCGACCCTCTTTTACCCCACCAATCACCTATCAAGGGCTTCGATTGAATTTGGAGGTTCTTTGGTTCTGAAAACAGAAATCGGGGGTAGAAACTCCTGTTCAATAACACTTGTTGTTGTTAGGTTTAAGGTTTAAAATACTGATTCAAAACAAATATGTAAACCGTCTTATTCGGAAGGATGCTCAACATAATGTCATTCAAGGATGTGATATTGCCTCGGTGTCTATCAGTTTGCCAGTGAAGCATGGGAAGAATGAAATGTCGTTGCCTATTTTGGAAGACATGGAAGTTTTCTTAAGCGCCAGCATGTGTACTTCATTTGCGCTACAAAACGAGGATATAAAGTCGTAACGAATTATAAGTTTACTATCTGCTGCCACAAATGTGGAATTTCGATTCATTCCATTTAGTAGTAGAAGTAAGTCTTTTGGCATAATTTATGTCGATCCTCGTCACAGAAGCCTAATGACTGACAAAAAGCCGCCACCTATTAAAGCCTTAAAGTAGTGCGTCATAGGTACACAGAAGGGTCACCTTGTGACTGGGATCACATAGGTACGCATTTGATAATACTAGCGTTCGTTCAAAACGAAAGCCTCATGTCCTCTATTACACAAAAATGTATTCAGCTGTGCTTAGTACATTCTGTCCAAAACCTTCTTCTCAGTCTTCGTAAAAAAGGGTTATTTGGAAGCCATTTATTTGGCTTCCCTATCGAAGAACATGAGAAAGGGTATTAAGCATGGTAAATGAATAGCCACGCCAGGTCAGAGAAGGCGCCGCGCACACTACTAGCAGACGCTTTCGGAATGACTTACTGCCTCTCACCCACAAAGTGCAATATTAAACAAATCATATGCGATAGTGTAAGTCTGGGGAAGCCTAGATGTGAGAGAAGTCGGGGTTGACATTTAAATTAAACATCAGAATACAGAGTTATATGGGTGCCATGGCGCAGAGACGTAGCTTTAGGTGCAATACTTTGCCTATGTGACCACTTGGTGCCTGGCGGTAACTGACATGTCGGCTGGTTTTCAGGTTAAGCTTAGTTTTAATTCCCTTGTTCTCATCGCAATAAATGTATTCAGCTCCACTTGGTGCTTCTCCTATCCGGTGAAAAGTCTCAGGATGCAACGTTAGATACGGTGAGAAGTGTTGGTTAAGACAAATGCTATTTTTAGTAAACGCCTACATCAACTGCTCATGTGCGTAGCAGTAAAAACAAAAGCAAGTATTGTCAAATTCATCTCTAGTTATTGCAACAACATTGTAGCAACCACATTCTTTCCAGTCTTTGTAAAGAGTTATTTAAGTAGGCAAAATAATGAATTTTTAATATTACGAGTCATGACGGATTACATGTCTGGCCTCAGCATCATTCCCAATCTCTTCGGACAAAAATCAGCCAGTGAATCACAATCAGAAGCATTTTTATCCTTTCTTACTTAACTGCTATCCTTTGAATTTAAACTTTCTTGTCTGTACTGCCAAAACTAGTTGTTTTGCGTATTGCATATATCTAGAGGTGCTTTTAACAAGCCGGTTCTACTTAAACTCATTGCTAATTGGTTGGCCTAGCTTTGGAGGGAGTGTTTTCACAGTTCGTGTGTATGCGAATCTCCAACCGCTGGATTGCTATAGGCATGTTGCACCGAATTACTTCTTATAGGCGGTTTTGTTACGCCCTTGCCTCAATAGCATCTGTATCACTAGCATCTTCCTATATAGTGCGACAGGAAAGTTTATCTGAGGAATTTGCCCGAAAATTGTCAAACTCATTTGTGCGCTTTTTAAGGTATAAAATGAGTTTCGGATTAGTGGATCAGATCTTTCTCTATAGGCATGCGTATATCTCTACTCTACAAATGGAAACTCTTAACAGTGCGTGAAGTAGGCTTTGGGTTTGTAGTTATTCAAAAATGACCTTGTTAAGAACTCTGAGGAATATGCCGCAGTTCTTAATGAGTGTCATCAAAGAGCAGCTGATCTGATACTTGATGGATGTCTTTTGAATGGTGGTGTATACATCAAATTGGGTCAAGGTTTATCCTCCATGAACCACCTTCTTCCATCACAAGTTACGTCAACTCTTGAGGTCCTCCACGATAAGGCTCTTTATCGATCGCCAAATGAAGTAACTTGGGAATTTTCTTTTTGCTGTAAGATTAAGCGAATATTTCAGAAGGATTTTGGTGCCTCTCCTGAGGAGCTTTTCTGCAACTTTGAAATTCAACCGTTTGCAGCTGCAAGCCTCGCACAAGTTCACCGAGCCATTACAAAAGACGGTAAAAAGGTAGCCGTGAAAGTTCAGTACGAGGATCTTCGTGAGCGTTTTAAAGGTGATGTGTCAACTCTGGAGTTGTTGCTCCGTTTCGTGAAGTTTATTCACCCTAAATTCGATTTGGCTTGGATCCTGAGAGATTTAAAAGAAACTTTGGCACAAGAGCTGGACTTTCAACGTGAGGCCGCGAATGCCGAACGCTGTCGTAGCGATCTTGCATTTATGGGTAGTCTTCGCCCTTCAGGTTTGGTTCACATTCCGGTTGTGGAATGGAATTTATCAAGTAAGCGGGTCCTTACCACCGAATTTATTGACGGAATCAAGATAAATGATGTAGGTTTATGCAGGTAGGTACTTTCATTGTCCTTCTAGACTTTGCGTTTGCAAAAGGCGGGTTTCTCTCTCGCCACCATTGACAAAATCATGGTGGCTGCTTTCGGTCATCAAGTCTTCTGCACCGGATTTGTGCATGCTGATCCACATCCGGGAAACCTTCTTGTTCGGGAGCGTTGTAACTCGTCGGAATCCCTCCCTCATCGTGTGTTTCATTTTATTTCTAAGCATTTCTTTGAAACTCCTGCTCAGTTAGTGATAATCGATCATGGCCTCTACCAAAGTATTTCTGACAGTGAACGGCTGACACTATGTGAGATGTATAAAGCTATCTTAAACAACGATGAACGTGGCATCATGGAAAGTGCCAGGCGTCTTAAAGTTACCGGTACGTTGGCGCTAGTATTTTTTTCGATTCCAACCAGTTCCTTAGCTATGCATCACCTAATATTTGTGGGAAGGCACTTAAAACGTTTTTAGTAGTTTGTACGAAAGTTGCGCCTAACGTTTGGAACGAATTGAATAAACGAAAACTGCCGAAATTTGGATGCAAATGTCTACTATGAGCCCTAAAATATTTGCCTTTGCATTTCCTTGGATTTGATCACAGATGCTTTTTTTTCTTAAGATACCTTAACTGGCTTTGTAATCAGTTCGTATTTGTAGTCTCCGCTGACTGCCATCAATTCTTGATTTCTCGATTGTATTTTTAGGAATATCATCTAAATGCTGTTAAGTAGAGTACTAAGCCATGTCCTTACTACCGTCAGACTACTCAACCTTTGGAGACATAATAGTTCAACGGCCTTGGCGTCGGATGGGACGTGTATTGTCCAGCAAGCTGACGGAGGTGGAAAAGGCTTATATTCGAGAGCAAGCCGAACTATACTTCGATCGCATTCTTGCTGTCCTCCGTGAAATGCCCCGACCTCTCCTCCTCTTTATTCGGTGGGTTCTTGCACTACTTCTAACCACTTCTTGAATAACGCGCCCTCACGTTTAAGTTCAAAGCTGAGTGCGCTGAACTCGCAACGGTTGCTTTATCCATCAAGCTTGTGGGTATTCGTTAGTAAAGCATGAGGTGGTGGGCTTGATTGAACGGTTTCTTGTAGGTTCTCTTTTAATCTCTACTCCTCACAACAATTCAGTGTTTTACTGTTGCCAAAGGATGTACCAGGATCCGATCAAAAGAGCAGGTTGTTGGCAAACAAACCCAGACGAATGAGTAGATCCGAATCACACGAGCTTAATCACTGGCTAGGATGTTTGGCAAAGTTCCTGCCATCTTTTATGAAGTCACTAGGTAATGAATCTTGGACAGTATACATTTCGAGGAACCATAAAGTGAGAATCGACTAAAGATATTCCTATAATCATAGGTGACGTCAGCCGTATTGCGAAATACGCCAAGTTGCAAGCAGTAGAAGTGGTAATAAGACTGTCGGGCCTTATCGATGCCTACGGAGGTGCTAGTGACGGACTTCTGTTTACTAAACACTTCTTGATCCAAGCGATGGGTTAGCCCATTTAGAAGTGATCAATGCGAGAGCGGAATCTTTTTTTTCCTGAGAAATCATTATCACATTCATTCTGGCAGTGAAGCATCGCTTTTCATGTGATGCAAATATTTTATGAAACAATTGAGAATTTGTGCTAAAACTGGTGGTGGCTCCTCAGTATACCCTATTTCAATTCGATTTGGAGATCAAAGTAGTCTAATTTGCTTTAACTGAAAACTAATCGGTAAATACGCGCTACCGGATATCTGATTTGCATATATTGTGGTATCATGAATCCCCCTCGAAATCGAAAGCACATTGCTTAGGTAGGACTTATAATCAGCAAGCGGGCTTTTGCTATGGCTCTGGGATCAGATCACCCGACCAAAGCGGCATTACTGCCAAAGTGGCCGAAACCGTAACCGGCAATTAAGCGACCAAAGTATTACACACGCTTACTATATTGCCATCTCAATGTGATCGGATATTACAATGGATATTGTGCGAATTGCCTTCTCTCAGTGCAGAAAGGCTAGCTGTGTTTATGCTACTTTGCATGATGCATTGGAAACCCCAGAGCTGTATCCGTGTATCGTTTAATCATTGTCGACTTTTAGTAACAACTAGTTTCGCCTTTGTTTTGTATCAAAAGCAATATGAACATGGTGCGATCTATCTGCCGTAGCCACGGGGACCGCATTAATCGACACGAGTACCTTATCTACATGGCCCTTCTCGGTAGTCAGACGTCGAGTACTTTCTATATTGACACTGCTTGGATGTGTTGGAAACGGTACATTCTCATGCTTAAGTAAGTTGGTGGACACTGAGGATTAGATCACTCATTTTGATTTGGATACGCCATTTCGTCTTCCTCTTCTTGAAGGTGGGAGATGTTTAAGAACTGGTTATGCCTTCTTGCATTACGTCTTCTCGCGTTCCTCGGATTGGCTCCAGATTTTAAGGAAATTCAATCATTGGCTGTTCAAACGACATGCAAAAATCGGCTGCAACACTTGGGATCAGGAAGTGTCTAGTACCGCGCGTCTCAATGAGAGCTTATTTCCTGTATTTTCTACTTTTTTTTCGTTACTGCCTCTGATAGATTGCCTCGAAACGGCATGTTTATCCCAATTTGGGAATTTGTGGGTAATCTGATACCTTTCCTAATAAAGTAAAGAACCAGAGTTTTTTTGTTACATGAAAATGAGGAGAAATCTGATAATCGCAGCTACCAATGCATTAGATTGTAACTGCAGTCTAGTAATGTGGGTTATCCATCGGTGGCGAGTCTGGGAAATCGCAAGAACTTAGTCTTTTCTGAGATCTGATGGCTTATGGGGTGGATGGTGGTTGATGATGCCAAAGGAGCAGCAGATTGGAGATTTCACTCGCACCCAGGTGAACATATGGGAGTCGTGGGTGTACGCAGCAACCGTCGAAAGTGCAGGTTAGGAGCTATTTTCATTATGCCTTTCAGATCATAGCTAGGATCAGAGGAAAGCAACGAATGGTGGTAGAAGAGAGGGGTGAGTTGAATCGTCTTGAGTTTTGGGCGGTATTGCGCGTGTCCATGGTACTAGAACTGCCCTCATGCACTGTACTTCTACAGTGGTATTTGAGTCTTCGAGATGGTCTAGGAGTTAAAGCATTCAAAAATGTTCCCGTTTTCGTGGACTGGGGTATGCAAGTTTCCAATATTGGGTCTTTTGAACTCTCGACTGGTTGGTCGTTATTTGTGCACTCCAAGTACATCTGCATGCGATTCAGGCTGACTGGATGTCTGATGATAGGAGTAGGAAAAGTTCAGGAGTCACTCACTGTGTATACCCGTGTGACGAGTGAAATTGAAGAATTCGTTTGAGGTCTCAAGCATCCATAGAATTCCACTTGTCTCCGCGGATATCAAGATGTCGTTCACATTAAACGAATCAAGGCCTAAGGTAGAAAATTTTGTCTTTATTGACCCCCCATTACTATTTTCATCTACTTTTTATTGGGAATCTGTTGATGAGGAGAGCAAAGTTTGAAGGCCTCTCTCCTCAATTTCTGGGAATCTACTCAAAGAGAACCTTTGGATGCATTGAAGAGGTTTTTTACTACCTCCGTCCCTTTCGATTTGTTCGATTTTCGCAGGAATGTGAAACAGGTGCGTTGATGACCACTAAAGTGAGGATTTGGTGGTTGGCAGTGGAGCTATCGGTGAATTTGTCTTTGGTGGACTGCGCTAGGCACATTTAAACTACTTTTCGTTTCAGTGCCCGTTAGTGTAGAGCCGTCTATATTGTTTGGTTGTTTATGATCTGGTTTGAAGCACACCTCCAACTCCAAATCACAACGGTCAAGTAATCTCTTTTACCATTATCTTAGTGGGCAATATGAGGAGCCTGGCACTGGTACATTATAATTGTTATCAATGAAGTGAGCGTTAATTTCACGCCTTCATTCACGCTGCTCACAGTCGTTCCATAGTGCGTACAAAGCTCATTTCAATTGAGAAGAGTTTAATTATCCTGCGTCCTGATGTTTATTTGACATAAGCTAAGTTTGCTGATACTTAGCGAGAACCACAAGTCTGGCTGCGCTTCTTGGCTCTCTGTGATCTTTTGATGTGCTTGCAAAGCATTTGATTACCCATCCTGACTATGAATCGAGTCATGAGGAGAGCCGTAAATGAACAGCCAAATGCGACTCCAACTACGCCCCAATTCAGATCTCCATCTTTTGTTCGTAGATAAGCGGCCAGACTAACATTCTAGAGGTAGATGGAAAGTTGGTCACGGTGTCCTACTGTACAAAGCGACACTTACTTCTAACCAAGGGATGCATTTACTCAATGTTACTGTCACGCTGTGGAGGGATAGCAAACAGAAAAAAGATACAGTCAGTGCAAGGAGATTTTCATAGAGCTCCTCCATTCCCTTCTAGGCGTCAGCACACGAGGTGCAATCAATAACCGGGTTGAAGTCACGTTGCCTTTTAGTCAGCTGACAGTTTCAATAATTAGGCGAATATTGTGGTAAAGTGAGCTCAGTAATGCTCCCTCCGGCCTACGTGAATGCGTTTTCTTTGTGCTGCAGTCTTGCAAGTTTATTCATTGTTCACCATAGTGCAAACATCATGAATAAAAGTACTGTTAAAGGAGAGGTAAATTGTTCCCTTTGTGAAATCTTATTTATTTAATGGGTTTAGAAGATCTTGGGTGGCATTATCTTCAGTTGGAAACAGTTCCTCTTTAACTGCCTTGTTGCAACAGCCGGTCTAATTGTTACGCGGCTACTGGATAATCTTTTGCAATTGGCGTTTCCATGTATTTGTCAGCCTCTCACCTGTTTGTTCCCCTCTAAACCCCGCTGTAAGCGACATAGATGAATTATTCTCGTCTTGTACCTGAAAGATAGTCTTAAAATTTGTTAATTTGTTCTGTAAGTTTTTAAGTCCAAAAACCTTTGCAGGAGGAAGTCCTGCCTACATTGTACGCAGATAAGACAAGAGGTGGGACAAAAAATTACTGCCGCCCTCCATCACAATATGGCGTGGAATCTCGAACTTGATGATCACGCAAATCCAAATGGAAAGCAGCGGCAAAATAATCTTTACACAGTATGTGGCTGTAGCAAGCACGACTTCTACGCCCCACAGCAGAACGACATGAGTTGTTTAATTCGGTGCCCGGATAATAGGTGAATAGTTTTTTGCTTTGCGAATGCGCTGGCAACCTCCCAGATCTGTACTATATTTGCTTCCGAGCTTGTTTGTAGCTTTGGCTCATTCGGCTTCATATTCATGTCGGAGAGAGAGGTAAAATAAGTTAACCATTTGGCAGATCAAAAATGTCTACTTAATTGGCTTGATTTTGATGGAATGCGTGCATCCTATTCGGATCAGTGAAGTCTTAGAAAACGCCCTTGCATGGCCCTTGTACTCCTAGGCCAGCCTTGGGGCCATGCTCAGATCCATCTGCTCTGTTCCCTTTGGAATACACGCATCCAGCCTCACTCATTGCCTTCTCCCACCTTGTGGAAAGTCTTGGAACACTACAAAGATCGGATTGCACATCGTGCTAAAATTGTTAGCTCTAAAAGTAGTATTGGTATTCAAAATGTGACACATGATTAAAAGTTTGTTATTAATGCTGCTGTATCAACTAAAGATCAATAAATTATTACAAAATTATTTGGATAGTTATCGTCAAAGAGGAAATAGGGAAAGACTAATCCATATTTAAGGGTGTGAAATCTGGGAGAGCTGCATACATTTAAATTCAGCAACTGAACTAACGATTGGCTGCAATGACAACGAAGTTCGCCAATAATTTTGGTGGTCGTACGGATAGCGGGTTCGTTTTCTTTCACTGGGTATATTTGTGGATTTCGCTTGGTTTTTGTTGCTTTGAGCAATTACTTAGCACCATCGACACACTTGTAATGTGTAAATTTACTCGTATACTTGGTTGGAGTTGTTCTTTAGTCTCCATTGGCTGAATTGTCGCATTCACTGCTTGTCACGCGGGTAACATTTGCAAGATTTCTCTTCAATATCAACTTAGAATCGTAATGTTTACTGAAACTACCACACTTTCACTGACTCCTAGTACTTTTAATTTCCATTAGTAGAATTAGTTGGGAGCGGTCGATGTTTCAAATTGGGGGTAATAATCGAGCACTCTTGAAGGAAACGTTCTTACCCATAATTAACATATAAGATGCATAGGAACAATAGTTATTTGTGTGTTTCAGTCGTGGTTATCGTTGTAATGCTAGTTGGGGAGAGTGGTCAAGACTACGTTCTTGGTCTTTGTTTCAGGATGTGGCCATCATATCCGGGGTGGCCTCAGTGGCCACAGACAATGCCGAGCACGGCTGAAGAAACCAATCATTGGGCGCAACTTGCTCGTCAGTGGGCAGCTGCCAACACGGTTCAGCAACAACTACCACCACCTCCACCACCCCCGCCGCCGCCGCCGCCGCCTCCACCGCCTCCTCCAAGACCTATTGAGGCTGAGACGCGATCTGCAATTGTTATCGAGGATCAAGATGATAGAATTCTGGTGCCTCTACCTCCTTTTAAAGTCAACCACGACACGGACGATCGTGTTCTTCCCCCTTCACAAGACTTCTCACATGGTGGCTAGCTTGTTCTCATAAACCATTTGTGTGTTCTTGATTTAGTAGTAACTTACTTCCCACTGAAGATTCAGATTATCGTCAGATGCAGCATGGGGACTACTCTGGTTCTTCTAACCAGTGGCAGGAAGGTCCTCAGGATTACTATCCGCCTAGTGAAAAGGGCCATGTGAACCCACTTTTGGATCAGCCGATCGTCCGGGAATATCATCATACGCACTACAGCCAGCCACCTCGTGGTGATTTTACGCGACCGCCTCCACCCATACCTAGTGTAAGATAATGTGATGATCAGTATAACATAAAGTATATTCTATCCGTATTTATCGGAGAAAGTGGCTAGGAAATGGTGTAATGGACTTGTCACTGGATAAGTCCACTCCTCATCTTTTGTCGATTTCTTCACAGTGTTTTGTGGAATATACTCTCAACTTTGTTGATCCTTATTTATTATACGTTTGCTGCAGCAACTTCCAAGTTGTTTTTCAAATCTCGTTTACTACAGTCAATTTTTCGGACTTCAGCAGCTCTTGCCTTTCCAGTTTCTGTTCATCTTCATTAAATAAGCCCAGAATTGTGTAACATTAACGTTTTGTAGTAGCTCTGTAGGTTACCTGAAGCCTTGTTTCATTCCTTCTATCCTTCTGGCCCATCGTAGGTTTTGAGTTCAGGTAGTCTACTCGTCTTAATTGTCAGCTTGAGCCAAATATAGGAGTCGGCACTAGCACTGCCATTTATTTTTTTATACGCTTAGCTGAGAACGCAAAATTTTTAGTAGCTTAAGGAGTCGTTTCGGATTTGGGATGGCGTCTTCCACTTTTGTATAGATGCATTTTGGTACGCCTGAGGGAGTCACTAGGGGATAGATTTAGACACCGTATAACTGGAACTTATGAGCACTAAGTCGCTCGGATATGATTGAGAGATGTGAACTTCGAAGAAACTCACAAGTGGACTTCGTAAAATCCGATTAATATGCATTGGATGGTAGATTCTTGTAATATGGTTGATTATGAAAATAGGAAACCAGTCTGTTTGTATTTTTGTCTACTTCCTAATAGTTTCCATCATTCACACCGAGTGAGTTGTCTCATGTAAAATAGGTAGATTTTTTGGATTTTAATTGCTTTAAATTACACTTATCATTCTTCGCAAATTATTTTCGGAGTATGGTTAGGGATCCGATTACGATTCACTTTAGTTTTGACGTATTTGTGTTTTCTGTTAGTGAACCCATCGGAATTATGTCAGTTCATATCACATGCATGATTGATCATTTAACTAATTCGAGATCAGATCTCCTTACCCTCTATGAATGTCATGACGGTACAATTCAAAAGATAAGATTGTATACTTCGTTTCCCTCTGGTCAGTTCAGATTTTAGCTGCGACACCTCAAGCACAGTACGAAGATTGTGTGCAAGATTGTCCTATTTCTCATGATTACTCTTCTGGTAGCAGCAACAGGGGTGCCCTCCGCCTCCTTCTCTCTATGATGGTAACAGGCCATACCCCGCTGAAGCAGTTCCAGAGCAGGATTGGAGTTATGTACACCGAACACCAGCGCCGATGTCGAACCCCATGGTAGATGATTTCTCCATGCCTCCACCGGCTCTCTTTCCTATTGGCCAGCCGCCGCGTCCCCACTTCGTACGGCATCCCCCACCTCTGCGACAGCATTTCCCCCACTCCATCCCTGAGCACGTGATGCCGGCTTTTCGTAAGTTGGTTGTCTCAATGTTTATACCTTAGCAAACCGTAGATTGAACTCTTATTCTTTCATGCGGATTACCTCAATTACCCACATCCGTTTTCTTGAAGTATTAATTGCTAATGGAACTGGATAAGCTCAAGCCGATTTTAGCATAATTCTGAATGGGTGTAGAGAAATTAAATGCAATGTCGGTGGTTATCTTTCTCACCTTTACGTTAGTCACATTCTCTGTTTCATATTACGTTTGATAGCTGATCTAATTTAATTGGCTTTTTCCACGGCCATGAAAATTGATGGGTTTGAGGTCAACCAGATAAGGCTTACCGATCTGCCCCTTGACTAATCACCTTTTGACTCACATCCAGAAGCCACTATCAAAAACCGAAACTACTATTTTAAAGTGAAACCGTTGAGGTTCAGTTCGAACAGTTGTGTCTTACTTCGTCAATAACATTTTAAACGCACTAAATGGCCTTTTGAGCGATTATTCTATCGGCAGCAATTGGTCTGATCAACCTTTTCTTCACTCGGAAGGCGAGGCAGTTACAAGCGCGGGGGCGTGGCCACCAAAAGAGACGGGTGAAGCTCGTCGTCGCACACTGCCCGCCTGGCTGCGTGACGAGTTGGAACGTTTAGAAAAACAGAAGCGCAAACAACAGGAGAAGCTGGAAGCCATTGATGTCTCCAAAGATCGTACGTTTAATTCCCACTTTTTTCAAAGGTTTTATTCTATACTGTTAAAGTTTTGTGATACTCCCCCATGATTGCACGATTATTAAACCGGAATACGTCGCTCATCGCCTTTCGCTTCAACTCAGAAAGTTATTTGCAACTATAAGTTCTTTGCTTCATTTTTAGATCGTCTACTGATAAGAGCCTATATCCGTAGCCTTTGATTAACTTTTTCAATTCATACAAGAATGCCGACATCTGAAAGATTAGTGATGCAAAAGTGAGACAGGTGGTTACTAAGAGGTCTTTCTTATTTTTTTTGCATCTGGAACGGGTGCCAATGATTGCGTCTTTACCGGCTGGATTCCCTTTTATACCTGCAGACATCGATTATATGCTGTTGTTCTGCAATGTTTCGGTTTTGTTTGTCCATTGCTTTTCATCGAAACAACGTGTAAAGCTAAATTCGAATGTCACAATGATCGTTTCGTTCAGCCATACCCTCCGTGTATAGCTGAGATTGTAGCCATGTTGAGTTCTACTAGGCGGCTTTTGCGAAATTATTGCAGGCGATCCTTTTAAGTGGTTAAAAATTGGGAGATCACCGGTCCAATCTTGAAGAGTGAAATTTCCACGTGGATGTAGAAATTGCGTATTTGGAAAAACACAGAAAATTTGAGGTATTGGTTGCATAGGTGACTAGAATTAATTTCCCAATGCACTACTTTTTTAGGAGAATGTGGGGGCAGTTTAAGCAGTGGACACGATATCAAACGTGATGCTGATGGCGCAGTGGTGATGGAAGAAGAGGAAATGGAGGGCGATGAAGACGAAGAAAGTAGGGGAGAAGAAAGAGGCGATTCTAACGACGAAGAAGAGGAGGAGGAGGAGGAGGAGGATAATTTAGGTAACGTTAGCGCCCAGGGCGCCAACTCTCCTCACGGCGGTTCACCGCGAACAAAGGCTTCGGTAAGCTGTCTCGTCTAGGCACTCTCCCCACCCACTCTCTTCTCGTCCACCCCGGTCATGACCACCACCGTGCAGTTGGTCTAACTTCCTAACCTTCTCCTCACCTCGTTTCGTCCAACCAGAACTCTGGATTTGTGGGTGCAGAGCGTGGGCTCGAATCCCCTCACGTCACCGAGGTGGAATACGTGGCTATCTGCGAGCGGCTACCTGAAAACCTTCTCATATCTGAGCTGGTACGTTCCTTTGCATTGCTGTAACCCTCTTAGAATCGTTGCATCACTCGAGTTCTGACGGACGTCCTTCTGGATGTCACAACTAAATTCGTCCTCGACGTGGCCGAAGAGACTTGCCAAGAGGTGCATATTGCATCTAAGCAAACGATCTTTGATCCAGCAAATGGCTCAGAGAGGGAGTATGATAATAATTCTGACTCAAATGACAGCGATAATCCTGAACAACTTGGTGCGGGTGTGTTGGGTAAAGTCTGCTGTTCCCTAACATCCTTCCTCAAGGCCTCTCCGCTTATATCAGTGATAGTGATTCAGACAAAGTTGAGTTTGAACCACCTTTGGAGCCTGAAGCAGTAGTTGAATCCCTTCCAAAATTGGATTCCGGTGAAAATGATCAGAAGACTGAAAATTCAAGCGTCATCATATCGTCCGTTGGGATTGAAAAAGGTCAGTCTACTAAATTAACCATTAGCAGCAGCGTTGATTATGCATGGTAACATCCTCCAATCAATTCTAGAGCAAAGTAAAGTGATTCCAAAAACGAGAGAAGAGAGGAGGGAGAAGAAGAAAGATACCGAAAAGCAGAATGAGTCAGCAGAAGTGAAAGTCAAGAAAAAGATATCAAAGGATGACAAGCAAGAGCATCCTTCTTCCTCCTCTCCCCCTCTGCCTCAGAATAGGAAATGCACAAGTCGTAATGTTGAACGCAAAAGTGATAGGAAGAAAGCCGAAAAAGAGGCCAGCGATGAGAGGTCAAGTCGTAGTCGTAACCACGAAAAACATTGTGGGCGCTCTCGAAGTCGCAGGCGTTCGAGAAGTCGTCGGCGTTCACGCAGTCGAGAGACCAAACGCCGAAGGTATTCACGGAGTCGTAGCGCCTCGAGGCGCAGACGTTCGCATAGTCGTAGCCGCAGTCAAGTGCGAAGCAGACGCTCACGTACTCGCAGTCATTCGCGTCGTAGGCATCACCGATCTCCTTCATCGACGTCAACGTCATCTTCCTCGTCATCGTCATCATCTCGTCGCGGTAGCAGGAGACGACGTCGTTAATCTGTCGCTTTTTAGGCAAGTTTGGCCGCTTCACCTGGTAAGTCGGATGCATTTTACATTTTTTGACCTATCTGTGTTTTTCTCCTGTTTCACTTGCTTTTTTTCAACACTGACTGAATTAACTTCCTAAGCCAACTACTCAGAGTTGCTCGTTGCTTTAATTGGGTGAAAGTTGACAAAAGCCACTTGATGTTATTACAGCTGTGACTGACCCTCTCCAGCGTTGTCAAGTTCACTTTAATGTCGTTTGTTTGTCTCACGCTCTTTTCCCTTTTCAGGTGTACGACCAATTACCTGTACATGAATTATCCTTCGTTTTTAATGCTTCTTTGTGATTGTAAAGAAGAATGTTTTAAATTTTTGAACTTATTCCACTCAATTTGGGGAATTGAAGCCTTGATTTCCAAAAGGTAGTTAAAAGACATGCAAGATAAACGTTGTTGAACCTGCGCGCATTTGGTTGTTTCGTTTTTAATCACCTGTCAGACCACCACTTCAGAAAGTTTTTAGTTGGCCAAAGTTTGTGGCTTGCTAATTATTCCCTATGGCCTGCAGCCACAGCCTTTTGCAAGGGTTAAAGAAACTGGGACCTTTCAACGGGATTGGATTTGGACCGAAAAGTGCATATGCGCAATGAGGTGCTAACTGGTGTACGTTCTCGAGGGTGCGGGGGAGCCCCTACGTATCACTTGAAATGTTATCGCAGGCTCGGAAGTGAGCAAACCAAACGATTGGCGACCTGATCATGGATGCAATGTGATTCCTCTCGACTGAAGGTTGGAGAACGTGGTTGGGGCGCTCTTGCGTGATTTTTTTTTTCTGGCATCACCCTAAAGGGAAGTGACGACGTTCCCTAAATGCCAATCGCTCTCGCGCTACCTTCATAACCCCTAAATTAAGTTGATGTTGCAAAAGATTATCAATATATTTCGGACATTTGCTTGTCCTCAGTTCGTTAATATTCACCTAGGCCTTACTATTAAACTTGACACTCGATTCAAAGCAATGTGAATCAGTGTATTGGGGGTAGCAACGGTAATATTACTCAAAGTCGATGTCATCTTCGAAGGGTAAATGGGTTTTAGCTGAATGAGGGGCTCCAGGCATCCTCCTCATGATCAGCTGTAGTTTGGTTTGTTCCATCGGTGGCATTTGGGGGAATGTCGTGAGAGCGCGGAGGAAGTGGTGACTGAGCCCTGCTTCTGCGTCGAATTAGGTGCATGAAAGCCTACAACAAAGTAGAGGCTTGAATGGGGTCAGTGTTTGGGGTTGCACAATTGTTTTCCCGCTAAAGCGATTTGCTAATGCAGTGACGAACTGGGATTGCCCATCTAACAAATTGCGTCGTGGCCACAATATTGATGGTGATAGCGTAACTAGCATAATTGCTGGACGAGGAATTTCAATTGCAATCACCAGCTTAGCATGAAGGACGTCGTCCCATAGCAAGCCCGTGGGTATTCTACAAATCTATGAGTTCTTCAAACTGCGCATAGCGGATAATTTCCAACCCTTCATTGCTTAGCGTAAAAATATGGAGAAAATTGACCTAAATTTGTAAGAGCTGGCAAAAGAGTCGAGAAATTGATAAAAGTAATAATTTTCAGTTCTAATGCAGTTGATTAGTGAGCACGAACGTTCATTTGTAGACAAAAGCTTACTTTTAAATGCAAACCGCCTTTAATTCTTGACTGCCATCCGAGGCTCGTATCAGCTGCAGAAGGCGGAAATCTACGTATACATTTTTTCGATTACCCAGTTTTTATCTTGATAATGGATGAATGACAATAAAGCGTGTTGTTATCTAAAAAGCAGTTAGCATGGCTGATTTCAGCTGAACTTGCACTAATGGATAAAGAGTGCGTTTCAAAATGACTGCCCCATTGTACATGCAACAGGCATCATCTGGAAGCGAAAACATGGACAGATAAAACTTAGGAAATTGATGGCCATGGCGAATGTTCAAGTATGAAAAGGTTTAGCGCCCTGAATAGCAATCTGCCTATCATTAAGGCTATGGAAACCACTAAGGAGCAGCCCTAGGTCTACCTCGGAACCTGAGCAAAGGGTAGTTTAAACGTTGGTCACTTACTGCTTTCGACAAAGGTAATAGGAGGGCAATCAAGGTCCCATTGAAAGTGGTTTTAAAGTATTCTCGTTCCTTATATGCTAATTGCATGCAAATTCAACTGTCTGCTGCATCCTGATGTTTTGCATGCATATCTGCCTTCGGCTGTGTGAATTAACAACTAAACACTCCATTCTTTCTGGTGTACACCTTCTACTATTGGTCCATGAAAGCGAATAGTCTATAATTTGAAAGGTTGAATTATCGTACTTATGGTCAGTAGTGCACGACACTGCTGTTCTCTTTTCTACCCACCGGCACGATAGGGCGGAGCTTCTGGTGGTCAATATCAAGCAATTAGGAGGCTTGTGGACGTGCATGCAAGCAAAGTCTACAGCAAGGTCAAATACGAGGTGTGACGTCGTGTCATGCAGGTTAATCTCAGGTACGTCACTTCATCGCATTGAGAAGTAGGTATGCACAAAATATGCAAATGCAATTCACTGAAACAATGTGTTTTATAATGTGCTAAAGCTGATTGCTATGGGTCAGAACACAAACAAGCACTGCTCTTGTGACGATTGTAGGTCCACGAGAAAGGGCAACAGTAAGTGGAAAAGTACCAAAAAACGGAATGTTGCAACGTAATAATGTTGAATTCATGTACGTAAAGATTCAAGTACTAGGGACTTGTTGGTAAGGCTTCCTTGTCATCTCTGCACTCCTGTAGGTCCCCGATATGCTAATACCTAATATTTTTCAAAGCTAATACTAATTTTCGCAAAACAAGTGAAAACTGAAAGTTCACCGTTGATGGCAACAGAAAGTGCATTTGGTTTACAATGGTATCCTTAAAAAAGTCTTTGCTTTCGCTGTCCACGCATAGCTGAATCCCCAATAATTTATTACAAAATATTTCCTTAGTCCATATCCACATTTTTGTCCCTCTTCACGCTCATGCTTTTCAGGCAGACGATAAGCAAATCAAATGACGCCAAACCCTTCGTGGTGATCTCTACGCTACCCGCTCGAGAACTAGGCGATACCTTTTTCCTTCCATCGATAGTAAAAAATTAAAGTCGGAACAGACGATTAAGCAACATTGAAATGTGGCCAAGGGAGGAGAAGAGAAATCAAGTACTAATAAACACTTGAAATATCCCACTGTTTAAGCAAATCCCGTTTCTGATTTGCTGCATTCATTAATTAATGCTAATGCTTTGAGATCCTTAATTCAGATGTCGCACCACCCTTAGCTCCTTCCAACTTAGATTCCACACTAAGAATACTAAAATATTTAAAGGACTACAAACTCTGATAATAGAATTACAACTTGGCGACATTTCAAGATAATGGTAACCGAGGTAGTGCCTGGCTTAGACTTTAGCAACACTTACTAATCTATTGAGCATAAATCCAAATATCTTACCGCCATGCTCGATGATGTTCGCCTTAATGGTTCCTCTAATCCAAAACTCATTCGTCGACTTTCTTTCCTTTCAAACGCAATAGCGGCAGAACCGTGATGAGGACCGCCCTCGGGAGTATCATTCATTCTTGCAGAGGCCAGTGTTCCCGGTACGTCTAGTTGCGCAGCTGATGCAAGCAACTCGCTTAAAGGATCGGCGTCCAAGGTTACAAAGCCATATTGGCGAAAGAACAGGGTATCAGTTGGTTTGGTAAATGAGAGGCTTCGCAGACGGCTGATATCCTGCGGTTTCGCATGTGGTGACTGCGCTGGCATACCGTGACGCAGATCCACCATCCACAGACTTATAGCTAGATTGCGTTCCATCAAGGGAAGTAAATCAAAGTCCTCATCATCATCACCGAATGGATTTAGGAGGGACTGAGCAACCTTGAGCCAACCCAAGTAGAAGGCGATTTCGAGAAGAGAAAAGACAGGCACATAGAGGATGGGCTCTGGCAATCCCGATGACGGGTTAGCAGGACCGGAAGTGGAGTTCAGCAAGATTTGGGGCACTTCAGGTAGTTGACGGGGAAATTGGCTGCCCACGAGGGAGATTACGAAGATCGCGTACACACCAATATTCACTACCTTGGGAGGGAAGTATGGGTCAGTAATTTTGCGGTTATTTAATTGTATTATAATATGCGACCCTATTATTCAGAGAATTCTATTCATGTACAAGTAACAAAATAGAAAAGTTCACTAAAGATTCCAATTTCCTCGAGATTAAAAGTGATGTAGTCAAATGCTTCTTCTCAAAAGCAGTGAAAAAGATATAGCTACCAACCTCACCGTTAAGTTTTGGAACGTGCAAACCGCGCTACTTTAGAAAATATTATGTTTTCCATAGGTGGAAAAATTAAAATTCAATCTGCATTGTACGGATGTGATACACAAAGAACCAACTAAGTTCACAGCCTATCAAAAATGTTTTTGTTTCTCGTGGATAAATAGTGCCTTAACGCGGATGCAATAAAAAGTTCGCATGTAAGACTCATAACCTCAATCGTGTTCGAGCACGGTGAATAAAGTCAAGACCAAAAAGCCTCACATAACACGAAAATCACATACTTGAGTGTAAACAAGGGGTATCGGAACGCTGTTGTAATTAAGAAGAGCAAATAATGAACGACGAAATTTCAAAATCTCATCAATAAGTGCATTCATATGCCTTTCATGCGTAATGTAGCCATGGACCTTGGCACGTTTAATGATGGTGATTGCCCACATGAGAGGTACGTAGAAAGGATGGTAGCGAGGATCAACTTGTCCGAAAAATTCATGCTCCTTTTCGGTCATTAGGCCACTCGTAATATAATTTTGCGTATTTTCATACACCTTTCTCACATTTGGGGCAATGGTTTGAAAACATAAGACGGCTGCCAAGTTCACGTACCGTGCAATACTTTGACGAATGACCGTCACCTCATCGGCTACTACTTCCATGTCTTTTTTATTGCTTTTACGAATTGGAATCTGTATATAAGCACAGGTTAACAAACCTACACCATCTGACGTGGGCAGGTAATTGAACTGATCTATCCAACGATTGACAACAAGGGTAACGAAAAAACCCAAAATAAAAGATATGGGCAAAGAATTTGACATCGATTTAACATAATCCAAAAAATTTCGTATCTGTTTGTGCATTTCGAGTAAACTCGGTGAGGATATCGGGGATAGGTGATAAACCAAAGCGATGGTAGAGTACAGGACGGAGAAGACAAGTAAATCAACCCATATGAGTTTATATATACTCCCTTTCCAGCGGCAAAGAAGGCGGAAAAATGCGCCATATGATGCAGTCGCAACTGCGCTAGAATAAGTTATCGCCATTCCCAACTACCGAAACGAACAACTTGATTTCGCGCCCTCTCCAGCGCCCTTGGGACATTCCACTTAAGAATGCAAACATACTTCAACATTGATAAAACAATCAAATTAAAAGAGTTTGCTATTGTGTAGTTTGAGTCGAATTTTCGCTAGTTGAGGTACATTGATGTAACTTGGGAGTGACGGAATGATGACTTCATTATTTCGGTGAAAGTATCCCAAAGGCCGCCATCACATAAATGCTTGTTTCTCAATCTCATTTCCATACTTAAGCTACGTTAAAAGAACTGCATTTATTAACTGTAGCGTCCTGAGACTTCCAATGGGGTGGTGGAAGGCATAAGTGGGGTTGAATACATGTATTCCGAAAGCAATAGGAAAAATGGGGCCTGAGCGTAACCCGAAGGTCAGCCCACGTGTACAGAGCCCAGACAAGTCCTAAAGTGACCGCCAAACGTCAGGTAGTCGCGTAACCAAAGCATTACACTGCCCCTCTCTTCTTTTGAGCGACGTCCTCGGCGCACCCCTTTGGTACACCTCCTGCTCCAGTCATCACAACATATTCGGTGCCACAAGAAAGCACCCACGAGCCAACCGCGCCAGTCGACAGACAACGCGAGAGCGAGGAACCGTACCTGATCTTCTCGGCAGCTTCAACTGGGTCTGCGGTCTGACAACCAGATTCGGGGACCCCTGCATCTGTCGACCATCAATTGCTTCCAGAAATACACGGTGGAACTCTGGTCTACAACAGATATGTTACAGGGATAAGGGGAAGGACCACTGTCCCGTATGCGAGGCGATCCTTTGTGCCATTTCCGACACCTAAACACGGGTTCTGTATGGGAAATTCCCACACGAAACTTTTCCAAATATTTCACGGCGGTGTCGCTTCAGTTGTTAATAGCTTGTCTGTGGAACACGGGAATAAGGTGAAACCAAATGCAGACGTCAGTCTCAACCCTTTCGTTGTGAAGGGTCCGGGGATCCTCCGTCCTCAAGGTAAATGCGCCCCCTCCAATTCACGTCCCGTTTTCGCCTTTATCTTTATCTACTGCACTTCGATAGATAGAGTCAGACTTCCTTCTACGCACGTATAGCTCATGATTGTCAGAATGCGCTTCTTAATCTTGGATTTCTCCCCTAAGAAGCAGAATTCGTTTGCAGTCTCGTCTGCTGGTTGGATTATAACATTCATGTTGTGAAAAGAGAGGTTTCGACTTTCCGGCCGAGGGAACCCGATTTTGATGTATCTGCATGTATTGGACCAGTGCATCATCCGACCGAACCGTTGCTCTTCGATTTGTTCGTACTGTTATTTTCCAGAAATCAGTCGGCTAATTGGCAAAGTTAAGCAAGGCAAACGTAGAATGTCAGTAAGACAGCGGTGTCTGTTGAGCAACACATTTTCCCACATACTATGTCGCTTTCAAAAGCACCTTATACCTATAAGTCGTTAAAAAGATGTCGGGTTCGCTTTCCACTGCCACCAGTGTAGCGTCCCGAGGCTTCCAATGGGGTAGTAGAAGGCATAAGTGGGGTTGAATACATGTATTCCGAAGACGACGGGGCAAATGGGGCCTAAGCGTGATCCGAAGACCAGCCCAATTATACAGGGTCCAGACAAGTTCTAAAGTGATCGCCAAACGTCAGATAGTCACATAAACAAAGCGTTACATTAACTTTTACTAAGCGTAAAAAACTGTTTCAATGTTAATTGCCCTAAATAAATCCTAAATTATTGGTGCAATAATTAAATACGACAAAACACGTGTAGTCTTACTTCTCTCTAGCTACCGAATGATTAAACAAGTTAAATTCTCTGCTGCAAGTTTTAAATGCTTGTGATTTAGGTGTCCAGAGTCTTCCTAGCCGGTATAAGAAGTCAGTAAGTGCAGCGGGATACCTGTATTCTGAAGACGGCAGAGCAAATGGATTTGGGCATGACCCGAAGGTCACGCTGTAGCCTTGTGAGGCTTTTCATAGGGTGAAAGAAGGCATAAATGAGATTGAATACATATATTCCGTAGACGACGGGGCAAATGGGGCCTAAGCGTGACCCGAAGACCAGCCCACTTATACAGGGGCCAGACAAATTCTAAAGTGACCGCCAAACGCCAGGTTGTCACATAAACAAGGTCCAGTGCCAGGCGCACATCTGATTGAAGTCTTTGAGATTTTGTTTTGCATGACGTGGAAATTGTACTTCAGTCCCTATCGTACAGTGTGCACATAACCTGCATTAATTTTTTTAATAGTCAGATGGCCGCTATGAATTCGATTATTTCAAAGAACTGAATTGGGATTGCAGCGCAACTTCACAATTCCTCTGACCTATTATGTTCAGGTGCATGCAGTAGTTCCATTTTTTAGATGTTTAATTTTTAGCTTCTCTGACATAAATGTTGAATAGTAAACAGCAGATCCCTCCCTTTCCTTGTATTCTCATAGATGATTCGTATTAAATCGTACTTTCTGTGTATTATGTCATTGGTCGATTCCTAAGTGAACGTTGATAGCCAATGCAAAACAGATTGTGTTGAGGTAAATCCTCAAAGTTCATTGGTGCGACTTTATTCCGCAAAAAGTGCTTCAGGGCACTGTTTGAACTAGCTCTTTTGCAATCATCTGCTACTCTCTGTGATCATGTCTACCGTCAGTAAAGTTGCTGCTTACACTATTGGGGAAATAATACTGTTGATTTTGAGTATGTATTCGTTGGAAAATAACTAACTACCCTTTTTAGTTGCTGCACCAACTATTATCCTTCAGTTTACTGCGCCGTTTCAAAACGGATTCTTTCCCAATGACTCCGCTATCGCCTACCCCCAGAGGTCCAACACAGTGTCGATGGTTTGGGCCGCTTTCTTTGGACTGGGAGCACCGTTACTCGCTGTAAGCTACACCTGAATTACTCTCCACTGTTCCCAGGTGTTTATAGTTGAAATCTATATATCATATCGTGAAGGCTTTCCGCGCGATCTAAGCACCAATATTCCTGTGGTAAGCTCCAAGTTTCCTCACGTTCCCTCAAAAGGTTATTATCCAGCTATACAAACTACTTGGATTGGTGGTCTTCTCATTCGCTGCTGTTCTGTTAATCGTTCAAGTTGGAAAGGAATCTATCGGTAGCTTGAGGCCGTTTTTTCTTGAGGCTTGTAAACCAACGAACAACGTTGGCAAGGACTACCAACCTGTAATTCTTTGTTCGGCCGATAATGCTCGGCTGATTGAGGAAGCCAGGTATTTCAGTGGATCATTTCTTAAATTATATGCTCTTTTACTTCCTTTGTAGAATGTCCTTTCCTTCTGGTCATTCATCCGCCTCTGCTTGGGGTGCAGCCATGACAGCGGTAAGGTCTAGTGTTTCACTAGGCTCGTAATTATCTTCCTTCCTGCTCTACTTGTTTCTTTTTTTGTAGTTTTACCTACAAATTCGCTTCCCAAAATGTCCCATACCAATGCTTAAGGCCTTCTTTCAGGTTTCTGTTACCGCCATCGCTTATTACATCTGCTTAACACGGATTCAGGATAACTGGCATCGTCCAATCGATGTAATCGTCGGTTCATTGCTTGGCATTGCGTCTGCTGCAATGATTGTACGATAAGTCTTATTTTTTCATTTGCTCTTACTATGAATACTATGCACCAAAATACATAACTTCATTGAAAGGTCAACCCAAGTCAATTAAAGTCCGATACAAATTTTTCTGGAACCAAGGACGCTTAATGCCGTTGCATGGGTGAGAGGTACATTTCACTCGTAATCCTTGAGGTGGTCTATTATTTTTAGGTCCCGTCAAAAAGACGACTTTTCTGCAAATCGGCTCCTCTTACAAATCTTGACTTAGTTCATTTAACTAATCCTCGGGAAATTGGTTTTCCACAGGCCATGAATAAGACATTTCCATGCGTTAATATCAAGTCATTTTTCATCAAAGCATGTTAAAGCGTACAACTTTGGGCATAGGGATGCGGAAGGACGCGAAACTGATTCCGCTTTAGAAGTTAACCCGCTGAAAGTTGAAGATACCTGGGATTATTACGATATCGTCAAACCTACCATCCATCATGATGCCAGTATCACTCATGCATCAGATTTGACCTAGTTTGTAACGTTGTAATGACCACACATAGGTCAATTTAACGCTAGATCAATGAAACGAACTCCTGCCCTTTTAATTTGGGTTGCATAAACTATGTGGTTGAGGCTGTGTATTCATTTCATGTAACATGAGTCCTTTTCTCAACCAACTTTTAGTGGGAATGAATTTCACTCATTCTCTTTTGATAGTTGCAGGCTCTCCATGCATGCATGGTCACGTGCCGTAAGACTTAACTTGACTTACGCAACCAATAGTAAATCTGCTTCACAGTTCCTTCCCTATTACCCTCGTAGCTCTTGATCCCATATTCGGAGGGAAATCTTTCAACTTTTAGCCATGGCTCAGCGACAGTTACGTTCAAACCGAACTCTAGGCCGTTTACTTTATTATTCGAGCTGTTTCATGGGCGTACATGATCATGTTGGGACGTAATGGTCTCACGATGCACTTCTCACACTCTATACTTTTGTTTCAGTTCTTGATTCCAGTCGCTCAGTCGGTGCGAGTTAAAGGACCACAACACTCCTTCTCCCCGGTCAATGTTTCGGCGTGACCTCCTTGGCATTGCCTTCCTCGCCATTGTTACCATCGGCATCGTGATCATCAGTGGCTTATACAACAATTAATTTGGATGATATCTTGATTCACCCTTTTCTAACTTGTGGACTATACTTTCATCTTGTTGATGCCCTTTTTGTATTCGTTTCGATTTGCATAATGCCCCGGCATGCCATCGCGTTTACTTGCATGTGATTTCCGAAGCATGAGTCACAGTAGTAGCAGTGACTTCTGTAGGGTTGAACCTGTTAATAAACCCAATTTGTTTGTGTATTCTCATGATACCTAAAGCATAAGCTTCCAGGCATACTTCTGTGTAAATTGGTTTGCACTCATGCTAAAGGCATGCCAGGTTTTTTTATGGGCAGCGACGTCATTGTCTCCGTCTGCAGTGTGGTTGAGGTGGGCATAGAAGCTGTATCAGCTGCTTCGTATTGTCGCGTGGGCGTCAGTTACGTGAAGTTGCTTCATAGTTCGTGTCAGATGTGAGATCATCCATGATAGTACGGCGCCAAAATTTGTGAAGATTCGCCGCCTTAATTCCCTTAAACATGGAACGGCGATGCGCCACGAGTCCCATACAAAGGCGAGGAAACACCCCCAGAGACACTTAAGCACAATTAAGCCGGATGTTATTAGTACACATTAGAAGTAAGGCAGGCAGAGTCACAGCGAACGCTTTCTAGTGAGTCTCTTGACCGGTACGGAGGAATATCCATCTGAAAAGGAGAACAAATTGGAGGTTGGATTGGGACCGATACAACCCACCGTGAGACCTTCTTTTGCGGTTGGAGGATGAACGTCGTTTAGTGAATTTCTGTCGGATTCCAACGTTTACTTTCTGATCCACTTCAGTTCCTGGGGCTTTTAAAGTTGCATTCGATTCCGCTGAGAGATACAAATTGAAACCTCCGTAACTGGCACGCAGTCCGAAATTCGCAACGCCTATGCGACCAGGCACATGTCGCACTACCGGTCTTTAAGTTAGGAGGAAAGAGATGTGTGAAAAAGAGGGCATAAGAATATTGCAAATGAACGTAGCGGTTATTCACTTTTCCTTTTCTGATGGGGTAATGATATGCTACAATTGCAAGAGTTGATACAAAAGCCCTCTTATTATTAGGGACTTTATAAATCGCACTGGAGGCATGGGTCCTGCCCGTATCAAATGCTATAAAACTAAAGCCTCCTATAACCTCGTACGCATCTCAAATTCCTTAAGGATACTTATAACTCTACACTAACACCAACAACATCTGAACTACTTCCTTCAAGAAGCAATAGTGGCAAAAAGTGAGGGAGGCTCGACTGAACGCAACTTCCTGAGACAAGAATGAATTTGAGACACGTGGTCATTAATATGAACTTCAATTTAGACCAAGGCAACAGTCCTTCGAAAAGACCGCAAGAATGCCTCACTACAACAGTGCCAAAAGACAGGAGTCCGGTGACACAACAACTTTCAACAGAGAGAGGTATAAACTACAAACCGTCTTGATACGACCTCTAACCGTCGACGTAGGACGTCCACAACAGGCTGTGGCATCGGGAACTGAAACTCTGTCATGGAGGGCAGTTCTTCCTGTTTAGCCGGTTTTTCAAGCTTCTCCAGTGCAATAAGAGTCCGCCTCATGAAATTCATTTGTAGAAGATTTTTCGAAATATCAAGCTTTGATACCGCCATGTCCGAAGCCATTGCGAAAATGGACAAATAGGTTAGAAGAGCACGACTCCTGTTGTGAACTTATTGACTAATCAAAAACGAATATGCGTAGATTAGGTTTGGTAACCCTTATAAGGGTTTGTATCTTTTCAAAGCCATAAAAAATCCACGCGTAAAACCAAGAAAATCTAAATGTTATTTGATATTTTGGCATTTGGCTGCGTTTAGGCCTTTTAGTGCACAAAATATTTGTCCAAATGACCTAGAATTACCTTGGACCTATACGGGCTGCTGACTTGGCCGGTTAGATATTTTCGCTGCACGTTTCGTTGTGAGATGCAGAAGGACGTTGGAATTCTAGCTGCGGAGATTTACTTTCCAAAGACTTACATTCCACAAACAGTTATGGAAGAACATTATGGTTTTCCTGAGAAGTATACCAAAGGTCTTGGACAGATGTCAATGGCCATTTGTGACGGGGCTGAGGATGTCGTTTCCCTTTCTTTAACTGTTACCAAACGCTTGATCGAGCGCATTGGGCTTGATTTGACAAAAATAGGCTTTCTGGAGGTAAATTTATCTGTGTCTTCTCAAGTTTCACCCTGTTCTTCTGTCCCAGATGTCGAGATTTGCTAATGTATTTCATGCTTTAGGGCTGATCGGTGTTCTTTGCTGATACATTATTAATTGGCTTATCACTTAGTTCCCAAGTTGTCTGTCTGCATTGTAGGAAGCTGTTTTCCTTTTTCTAGTGTAAGAGTTTTATGCTGTGTGCTTTGTCTCATATTTTCACCATTGTGAATGTTCTAAATAATATCGAATTACTTCTGCAATTCACTACTTCTTTCAGTATTTTTCCAATTGACGATCGTGAAGAAAGGAAGTATGGGAGGTGAATAAAGCTCAGCATCATATTTTCCTGGTGGTTAGATTGATGCCATTGCGGTTCTTACCAATCTATTCTCTTACAATGTATAATCGTATTGCTTAAAGGTCGGCTCAGAAACTCTGGTCGATAAGTCAAAGTCAGTCAAGAGTCACCTCATGGTTCTATTTGAGGAGTGTGGAAACTTCGATTTGGCTGGAATCGACGTCAAAAGTGCCTGCTACGGTGGCACTGCCGCTCTCTTCAATGCCATTAATTGGCTCGAATCCTCTTCATGCGATGGTTAGATTGTTTGTTCGCCTTTTTGTAGCCCCGTACATATTCCTAATTCAGTTCCGTGTCTAAACATTTCTGCGCATGAAAGTCTTTTACAGTTGCTTAGATGTGTTCCAGACAATATTACTCGGCGCTTCTTGTTCTTCGTTCCTTTAAATTGCTGCATATATTCTGAGATTTTAGATTAAATTCAATTTTAATAGGTCGACTGGCTCTGGTAGTGGCGGCGGACATCGCAACGTACTTGACAGCTGCAACCCAGCCCACTGGTGGTGCTGGTGCCGTCGCCATTCTTTTGGGACCCAATGCTCCTCTTGTTGTTGACTCCGGTCAGTCACCCTTTCTATTCATCGCCGAAATTGTTGCCAAAGGGTTCTTTCATTTCTATTTCCTACAATCTTCGCTACTTTGAACCGTATTTTGACCGAACTAAAGCTTAGATTGTTGTATTTTCACGAGTTGAATTGTTGGTATCTCGCTTTGCTGCTTTGCAAAGTCACATGTATTGTTTTCGTTATTCAAAAATCTGAAAGATGTTGTTTAGGTACCAACCAATCCTTTTGTATTGGGTTAGTTACACAAAAGCATATATAAATTCCATAGACTTCTAACTTATTTTCACAGGCTCTTCAGTTTTTTACAAACATCTTTAGGCTTTCACAACTGAAAAGCTCCTTATAGTAGCCTGTTTATTCTGCTTTATTTAGTAGTATGTTCCTTTAACTTCAGATCAAATTTTTTCGCAATAGCAGAACTTGCCATCAAGTCTCTAATAGATAAGTGGTCACAGATCCCATTTTTATACCCAAGGGATGCATGTTGGACCACAACCAATGAGTTTTGGATTTTAGATCCTCCTTGAGTACACTGTTTTAGAAGACCTCGTAGAGGGACGACCTCTTTAGTCTTGTCTAGAGGTCACTCACTTTGACCTATGACCCAACATCGAAACTATGCATTATGGTGGTTGCAGATCCCTTTCACTGTTTATAATATCGTTCTCCTGACCCAGTATCATAACGGCGACTTATGCTTGTCGAACTTGCAGACATCTACTGGTTTTGTGGTTGCTGACAGGGGCTATTCTTGCTATGGAGTTTATTTTTGAGCTAGCATCTTTTCAAATGAATTGTTACCCATTCCGTAGTCGATTATTTTTGCTTTCTGCTACAGCACTTACAAGCAGTTCACCCCTTATCGCTCCATAACTTTGGTTTGGTCATTTTGCAACCTTTGGCGGTAAAATCATTTGACTTCATTCTGATTATTTTTTACAATACGGACCCAGTATTCACCAGGCATGCTTACCTTACACGACTTTTCACTGGTTATTTTGGTACTTTTTGTGACGAGTTCTGTTTCCTTACCTAAACATCCGTTTCAGTAAATTGTACATTGTTTTCTCATCTATGCTTCAGGCCTTCGTGTATGTGCAATGCGCCACTGCTACGACTTTTACAAACCCGTAATGGGATCCATCTTTCCTGAGGTGGATGGGAAGCTGAGTATCACTTGCTATAAGGAGGCCGTACTCTCTTGCTATCGCCTCTACCGCGAGAAAGTGGAAAAGTTTACCGGTAAGTAGGCTGAGTTTCCTTACAGGGCTCTCCTTTGTAGGCCGCAAGGTCCGGGTGATTGGAGATCGGACCAAATGCGAGTTTCCCATCGACTTTGTGTGCTTTCACTCTCCCTTCTATCGTTTGGTTGCCAAGGCCTTTGGTTGGATGGTATTGCAGGACGTCAAGACTGTAGTGAACACAGGAGGGGTTGTGCCTGAGGCATCAACATTGGGGTCAAAGGCCAAGGGAGCCGAGAACAACAGCGCTAGCGAGCTCCACAATGGGGGATCAACGGACGAAAATGCACTAGTTCGTGAGTTGGCTCCGCTTGCCAACGAGGCTGACAGGTTCGTGTTTTTATGCTTCCTTTTGAAATTATGTTTAGGTTTTACTTGTGCTCTGGTGTGTTGTGCCCGTTTACTATGCGTGCCTGTGTTCTTTTTACCATCATTTGGCTGTGCTGTTGATATTCGAGTTTGATTGTTTCAATTTTAATAGCTTTTGAGTTTGGAGGGTTAGAGAGAGGAGTGCTCGTGGTGCTATGGATGTGAGCAACTAGGTTCAAATTGTCTGCATCAGTTTTACTGATTACGCTTTTTCTCACCATTACAGCACGGAAATATTGCGATCGGTGGACGAAGCCTGTTTGTCTGCTTCGCGTGCTCTTTTCGATCTCAAAGTTGCTCCTGGATTGCGTATCTCTAGTGAGGTGGGGAACATGTACACCGCCTCGCTCTACGCATGCCTCATTTCTCTTGCATGCTCGTGGGTTCCTCTTTTTTCCTCTGTTTAAATGTTTGCATCTAGCTCATCATTGCTTCCTCATTTTAACCCTTACACTTGTTTAGATTTGTTTATCTGTTTAGAATTTTCTTTTACGGTCCGCTTTGAATTAATAGTTTTCGTTTTCATGGACCAAGCAGTAGTGCGGCTACAAAACGAGCTTGTTCATATTGGCAAAGCTCATATTCGCTGCGGATAAAGTTGCTTCTGGCCCCTTCTCGGTTGAGCACCTTCACTCACGTTGTTTTGCCATACCTTTTGTATCTGTTTATTTCCACATCTTTTATTAGTGGCATCATCCAAAGGGGTACTTGTCCTTTCCTTAACCCTCTACTTATTAATCTAATCAGTAGCATTAACGAATACGTCTGAATTTAAACATGCTGTTGGTCTTTTCCTCTCCAGTTTGTCTACCCAGTTATTAAATGACTAGTAATGATGCGCGTCCAAACAAATACTCCGACTCATGCTCATGTTAGAGCATAAAGTTCGACTCGATTTCTGTACCTCCATTTTCACAGCGTTTACTCATGTTTTTCAGTAACACTGGTGCGTTCGGCTAAATCTAGCCTCATTCAACGGGCTGATTATTGATGTAAATAAAAATTCAGTGCGACTTCAATTACTGTGCTGAATGTATCCAGGCACGCCTCTACTTGTGTGCTGCTTTTGCTAGCATTGATCACGACGCTTTTGAATTCAAATCTGTCAGAGTTCCAGAAGTTAATTTGCGCGGACGACGTGTACTGATGTTTTCCTATGGCTCCGGCTACACTTCGTCAATGTTCAGTCTTCGGATCTCTGAAACCGCTGATGTGGAGGCTATATTTGGTGCCTCCTCACACTCCCCCTTCGATCGGTTGGCACAACGCACGCCCATCACATTCGAAGCCTTCAACGACGGCCTTGAGACCCGTGAGGCCACTCTTGACAAAGGTCTGTCCCTCTCCTTCGCCATTTTCGGGCGAAATACTGGAAGTATTTTGTGGTGTGCTGACTGTCATTGTAGGTTAATTCTGTAGTTGTGAGGGGCTCTCTGATGAAACTGCTGCAATTTATTCAAAGGTGATATCGATACCTCTCCTGCTTAGTTTGGCCATCCTGAGATTGTGTTTTCCTTGATGCCTAGGCTTAATATCCTGCTGGCAAAACTAGGGCAGAGTCGTCTACAGCTCCAATTAATGCAGAGACCAGGTTACCTTTAAAAGCTCAATAATGCCTGCCAATTTTAAGGTTATTTTGTCCTTGGCGTGCATAGGAATCAGGACAGTATAAAACCAGTACGATGGCAGAATAACTGCGCCTACATTCACTTTGCTATGCTTTTATGGGGCACCCTTGTTTAGTGAACTGTGGTAAAATAAACTAGCGCATATGCGCAAATATTGATGACTTTGTATGCATTAATTCAATGAGTATTTACTTGTCGAGTGCTCACTTTGAACAGCCTTCACTTTTAATGGGAGGGGGAGATTCGCCAGCAATCATTATTTAATTTTACTCCGAGAATGCCAAAAGCATTTGTCATCTTTTATCTTCCCTTTAGCACCTCTTGACTACCCAATGGAGAATCTGAAAAAGCGCTTTTTCCCGGGTACCTACTATTTGACTCACGTTGACGAAATGCATCGCCGTTTCTATGAGCGAACGCCCATTCCATGAGTAGAATGGTCAGTCCTCCAGTTGACTCCATATGTTCAACTTTCGTCTTCGTCTTAACATGACGATTTATTTGTGATCGGTGTTTGTTAACACATTACTTCATGAAATTCTAAAGAACACATTCGTATTGTTGACTGATTTTCTTAGTTAACTAATTTACCGCATGGAATTGTTTGTGTGGAGCTTGATACTCTTTGGTCGAAAAAAGAAATTTGGAGATTAATTAATTTCATCCTTTTTCGGAGTGGCTTTACAACATTGTCAAAGAGGCTCCTTCACTATACTAATGAATAGTCATTTGTGGTCACCTTCATTGGGTCCATTGAAGTGTGTGAAGCAAGGAAACGGGCTGAATTACTTCTTTATAACACATTTAATCAACAAAAGAGGCATTTGGCATCTTCATTTCTCTTGAAACGAGACAAAAGTTCGAAGAGGTTATAAATACCTTCATTCATCTCCGCTACTGCACATTCGATTGTCGTGAAAACATCGACGACTGCCCGTCGAAACCACAGGAGGAAGGCATCGAGGAAGAGGATGTGGTAGCACTGCTCTTCCTCTCATCTGGACGTGAGATCTGCGGTTGTGTTGCCTTTCCAAAACAGTCTCCTATCTGTTGACTAGTCTCCCCTGATTTAAATCGAGAGAGAATGCGAATAAGTACTTCTTGCCGCTGAAATACTTTACGAAACATTGAAATACGTTAGCTTCTAGTTGCGTAATTGTCTCATTGTTGCACAACAGATTTACGAGCTTGCAACGTACACTACCATCTCATTTCTACATCCTGACATTCCGGTGCATTTTGCATGTTAACGTGACACTGATGTCAAGAAGAGTAGTGGTCACTTGAGAGAATGTCTTCATTTGGAGAGCGAGAAGATTAGAGAGAAGGCAGTGCCTTTCTCCCAATTCATTGTCCAGGTCCTCCCATGAATGTGCAAAATGAGGACAGCTTGGAAAACCAGCGAACAGAGAACAGCATTGGAGAGGGTTACAGCACTGCTATTCCGAAGTACATTCTCACAAGCACTGTAACTCGGACACATAAAAAGCCTTAAAAGCTCCTTCTACGTCGAATTGGCTGGTTGGAATCTTTTGTGACATGATGGTTAGCGGAATGAGGTTATTGAGTACATCTGCAATAACTGAGCAAATAAATTAAAACTAAGGTATAGTAATTGGCTTTTGGAAACTCTTAATTAGCGAGAAGAGCACTATAATTTATAAGCCCATGGGGAACCAAAACTGGAGCTTTGTGACTGGACGTCTGAAGCGGCCTTTTTTACCTCTCGAGGACCAGTGCGCTGATTGATTGCCGAGGTGATCAAGAACGACATGATGCAATGTAATCTTTTGCGATTCTGTTCAATAACGTGCGTTAGTCACTACCCCATTCGTATCTCTAAGGCCAATGTAAGTTTTTAGAAAAAATTCGCACTATTTGAGGAAGGAAAAGTCGTGTCTCATAAAAGCACAAGGTCATATGACAGTCTGTTCCCTGCCTCACAATCCAAAGGTAAGCTGGCTTATGTCTTAAGATGGTGCGCCAATTTGGCTTCATCCTAATATAACGCTTCCCTACACTGTTGTGAGGAGGCGTTCAGAGAGCAGATGTGGAGCTGGAAACGAGGCCAATGAAATTTGAACTATTTTACTGGCTCCGCATTTATAAGGAATAATTGGATTTCAATGATAAACGGAGCCCATCATGTTATTAAAAAAACTTTACCTGAACGAAATATCTGCTTAAAATGTCGCAAGACTCATTTCGTTTCAATGAAGCAGACAAGATAGCGGTTACTTGAAGCCACAGTATGACCATCGAGTGAACTTGGGGAGTGAATAGAACATGTCAACAAACGGCTTTTCACTCAAATGGTTAATCGTTTCCACTAAACCGCGCCATTATTTCTCACTCGTCAAATATTTAACAACATTGTTCAGTTTTAGGCATCTGGCTCTCTTCAAATTTTTCCTTTGGTCTGATCAAAATAGGTAGCTGAATGATTTGCCGCAAAAGTCATGCGATTCCATAAGACTAATGCATAGTCAGTTCCTTAGGTAGGTCTCCAAGTGAGTTATCGAAAGAATAGGAAAGGCAAAGCCTTCGAAGTGGCGCTAGGATTTATGATGACTGGATTATGGCACAAATTTGATTATACCTTCAAAAAAGGTATGCAACGTCTGTTTCGAAGTAACACTCATGACCGATGCAGACCAATCAACCAGTAGATGTCATTACTTTTCCATGAAAAAGATAATAAGATCAACGGGCGAGCCGTTCATAGGCTATGTACAATTTAAGAATAGATGATGCTTTACAAGAAGGGCACTTCAAGTCTCAATCAGAAGCTTCTTTACGTCAAAAAAGGCGTCGCACTTGGATATTATAATAGTACTCACCTAGTGGAGAGAAAGCAAGACTGTGGATCTGTCTCACACCCCAGCTCGCCCGGTCAAGCCATCTCTATTACTGTAGCTACTATGATCGAAACCAGTGGTCAAAGAGGCACACTACTGTCACTAAGATATTGTCTACGTTCTACATAGGAATGTATCTTTATCGCTAAATTTGAAGACTTACGCGAGCATTTTGAAAAAAATGATAAAACAGGCATGGATGTGGGGAGGATATCATTAATATATGCCTTAAGGGAAACTTGGTTGATGAATGATGGTGATTGTGGAAGAGAATGTTGTAAACCAAAATTGTTCCTCACTTATTTCCTCTTTTCCAACCTTGGGATAAGCAAATGGCAAAAATACATTTCTTCATCTTACAGAGCTGCATTCTGTGTTGGTGAATGCTTCAGCTTGTATCTATGCGCCAACTGGATGTAAATTCATGACGAATATGTAAGCTTGCAATTATGTTTTTGTGTGCAGTTTGAAAAACCTGTAAAAGAAAATACCTGTTGTCTGTGTGGTAAATGATGCTGCCTGAACAAATGGCTGAATGAATTAATAAAGAATGAGAGCATCGGTGTCAGTTAGGTAATAGCGAAAAAAATAACGCTCAGCCAACTACCAGACAATTGACTGTGTCATCACCAAAAAGAGGATTCAATTCAGTTCATTTCGAATTCAATTTTAATCTACATGTCCCGAGCGTCACATTGCGGAAAATGAAAACCACACAAAGCCTAAATAGCCGTGAGCAATGAAGAGGTCTAAGGATTTTTCCACTATGCATTCGACGATTCAATGGGGGCAAGTGTTAAACACTCCTGAATGGCATTTCGTAGTACATGTTGACAACTCCACAAGTGCCTGCAAACCATACCTTCCACTCTTCAGCTTAGGAAAATGTTCTGGAACATCCACCACACACATCAAAGGATCCATGTTGTCCAGTTATCGCAGAACTCCCAACTGTTCTGTGACCAGCGCCACAAACAGTGGGATACGAAACTGATCTGAGGTCGTCATCGAATGGGTTGTCTGAACTCTTGAACACATTCCCATAGTTTGTTTTGTCGACAGTGTGAAATCTCACTGTCTTTAGCAAGAAGGAAACGAATGATACGGATTAGTAGGGGACCACGGAATTGCCTCGCTTTAAGAGAATACATTGAATCCTTTTTTTCCCCATTCACACTACATTACTGCACAATGAGTTAATGAATTACCATCTGTCTTTAGAGCCAGCGATCTGGGTCATGGAAACTTTGACTTTCAATAGCTAATTAACAACGTCATGCGTTCGGGCATGTGCATATGCTGTGTGTGAGAGACTCCACAATGACTCCTCATGGAAGGTTTAAAGTTGTCTGCAACTTAAGCAACTGTCAATATTCGAGCAACAAACACGAACTAGCAATTTTCTCCCATTCCACTGCCGATGTGAACATGTGACATGACCAAATCCGTCAAGCCTTTTGTGCAAATGCACAGGTGCGTTCAGCCTCGCATAATTAGCTTTTCAGGGCCCTACACATTCGTCCACACTGACCACCCTAACAATGGACATAACATCGACCATTATCGCGTTGGGATTAGACCAGAGAGCGTTTACGAGGAAGCACCGCAGATGAAGTTGCAATGAGGACCGCAACGGTGTGATAATTTGACGGATTGTGACATGTACGTGAGAGTAAAAGGAGTGTAAACTTATGAGTCTAAACGGAAATCTGCTGCACAAATCTTCTGTAACCCTCCATGCCAAGTGACATCTTATCGTAAATTTTGGAGAGAAGATACACCTCAATTACGCCAACACATCTCTCGCTTTCAACTGCTTAGCAGTTAACAAACCTGTTGTGTTGTTTTTAAAGAATAAGCGGCACATGGTGTCATGCCAAGGTAACCGGACCTCATTACAGTGGTCGAAACTTGTGTGAAGTCTAGCAGTGAATTCATCAGTTTAAACCGGAAGCCTGATTGCCTTGCTCCATTTAAATGCAGACGAGCAAAATTGGTGAGAACTGCGTTTGAATCGAAGGAAGCAAAAGTCCTGACAACATAAACTAAACACAATGTTGTGCCATCTTGATATCGCAGCATTGACTCAGCCCGTCCCTGCGTCATGCCCCATATACAAGAAGTGCTTAGGGCTGGAAAAACGTCGACTTCTCCAATCGTTTAGGCGTTTATTGTGCTTGATCGCACGTGCTAGACCATTGGGAACGATGTTGGAGCGATGGTGCGCTTTTTAAAGCAGTATTATATTAAACTGCGTGTTGATCCTTTTTTGGTTGTTTATGTAGATCCTTGCCCTTTCTCTCCCACGTTAGTCATCTTTTTCATTGCAGAAGCATGAAGATATGCCCTTAAAGTTGCATTTCAATAAACGTGTGGTTTGGATTTAAACAAGCGAAATTATAGGTCTCCTGTGATCGCAGAACGAAGTAGTAAGTGAGCTAGCAGCCCCAATGCTGGAGAATTGGGCCAGTAGTAGTAAGAAGTGTCCGGGTCACTGGCGTGAGTTGATGCAGTGAGAAGTTTTATGTGAGGAGCTCAAGTCGTAATTGTAATGACGGATAGTGCTAACCAGC